GGGAGCTATGGGGGGAAAAAAGAGGAACAACTGTAATAATCTGAACAATAAAGATTTATTAAAAAAATAAGAAAATAAAGGAGATTTTATACAGGTGTATATATAAAGTATTTGACAAGATTCAACACCATTTGATACAAATCCTTTTTAAATTAGGAAGAAAAAGATTTTTCTTAATTTGATAATGGGCATCTATGAACAGTCTATTCTAATATCCAACTTAATGGTGACATATTGAATGCTTTACATCTAAAATCAGGCAGAAGCCAAGGATGACCACTCTCACCACTTGTATTCAACATTTTACTGGTGATTGAAGCAAGTACAATAAGGCAAGAAAAGAAGGGATTAATATAAAAAAAGGAGAGGTGAAACTCTGTTTGCAGATTTCTTACATAGAAAAACCTAAGAAATTCACAAAACAACGAGGAGAATAATCAAATTTAGCAAGCTGCAGAATACAAGCTCAATATAGAAAAATCAATTGTATTTTAATAGCAACAGCAAACAGTTGGGTAATGAAATGAAAATTCCATTTATAATAGCATCAAAACATAAAATATTCATGCATACATTTAAAAAATATGTACAAGACTTGTGTATTTAAAAAACTACTGCTGAGAGAAGACCTAAAATAATGGAGAGATAGAATATGCTCATGAAGAAGACTCATGATCACTAAGATGTCAGTTCACTCCAAATTAATCTACATATTAAATGTTATTGTAATCATAAGTCCCACCTCTTCTTTACATAGAAAGAGACAAGCTAATTCTAATATTTATATGGAAATACAAAGAAACTAAAATATGTAAGGTAATCTTAAAAAAGAAGAATCAAGTTGGGAGGATTTATAATACCTTCTACTACTTTAAGACTTTCTATAAAGCTACAATGATCAAGACAGTGAACCTGGGCATAAAGAAAGACATATAGATAAATGTAACAGAATAGAGAGCTTTAAAATAGATTTACTAATATAGTTAAAAGGTCATTTGATTTTTGATAAAGGTGCCAAAGCAAACAGATGGAGGGCCTTTTCAACAAATGGTGCTGGTACTACTGGATATCTATGTAAAAAAAAATCTTGACTTTTACTTCACACAATATATAGAAATTAGAGATGGATCATATATAAAATATAAGAATTAAAACACTAATGCTTCTAGGAGAAAAATATAGGAGAATCTTCAGAGTTTGGTGGTAAAGGGTTATTAGGACCAGAAAGTAATAATCAAAGTATTAAATTGAATGAATTACACTTTATCAAAATAAAAAAAAGCTTCTGTTAATCAAAATACACCATTCAGAAAGTGAATAGGCAAGCCACAGGCTAGAAAAATATTCACAAAATATAGATTTAATATAGGACTTGCATCTAAAATATATCAAGATCTTCCACAATTCAATAATAAGACAAGCAATCTAATAAAAATGGGCAAGAGATTTGAACAGACACTTCACCAAAAAAGATATATGAATACTAACAAAAAAGTTGCTTAACAGCAGAAGTCATCAGGGAAATACAAATTAAAACAATGAGTTACCTTTATATAAACTCTAAAATCACTTACATTAAAAAAGACTATTGTTAACCAATTATTGACAAGAACGTGGAACAACTTGAACTGCTGCACATTGTTGGCGAGAGTGTAAACAGATACACTGTGAAAAAAAAGTCTCATAGTTTTTTTATAAAGAAATATTCATTTCCCTTGGACCCAACAATTCTCTTAGGTATTTATCCAAGAGAAATGAAAATACGTATCCTCATAAAGACTAACAGAAGACTGTTTATAGCAGCTTTATTCAAGATAGCCAATAACTGGAAATAGCCAATATGTCCAACGAAAGGTAAATTGTGGAGTATTCATAAAATGGATTACTATTCATAAAAAAGGAAAAAAACTATTGTACATGCAACAATATGAATGGATCTCAAAAACAGGCTAAAAAAACTTTAAAGAGTATACACTGTATAATTTCGTTTTTATGAGGTTCTAGAACAAACAAAATTAAACTATGGTGGGGAAATGCACAGAATTAAGGTTGCTTCTTGGTGAGTGGAGGCAGAATTGACTCTGAAGGAGCACAAGGGAACTTTAAACGAATACTGAACTTCAGTTAGTATTTATGGTGAAGTATTCAGGAGTGAATGCGCTTAAGTCTGTATTAATTTGAATGCACCAAAAAAAATTAAGAGATTGATAGAGGACTATCAGGGAAATACTAGTACAGCAAAATGTTAATTGAGCCATATATATGGATGTTCTTTCAATAATTATTTCAACTTTTCTAAATGTCTGAAAATTTTCATCATAAAATATTGGAAGAAAATTATATTTTTAATTCCTCCAGCTCTCTCTCACTGCCTGTACAAATTGGAACTGAATTTTTATAAAGCCCATAGGTGGTGCTATTTTCAGAGTAATAATTTTACCCTTTTAAAAAAAACAAAACCCAACAAACTTTAATTCAAGATATAAATCAAGCCATTCCTTCTCACCAAAGAATGAATTAAAAAGAAGAGTGATTGCCCTAACCGGTTTGGCTCAGTGGATAGAACATCAGCCTGCAGACTGAAAGGTCCCAGGTTCGATTCCGGTCAAGGGCATGTACCTTGGTTGCGGGCACATCCCCAGTGGGGGGTGTGCAGGAGGCAGCTGATCAATGTTTCTCTCTCATTGATGTTTCTGACTCTCTATCCTTCTCCCTTCCTCTCTGTAAAAAATCAATAAAATATATTTTAAAAAAAAGAAGAGTGATTTTAGTTTCACATTATATATGTAATCTCTGGCTCTGATGGAGAAGTTCAGAAGTTTCATGCACGGTACCTCAGCTTAGATGACTACTTCTAAGGCTAATCATTTAAAGATGGGTACCTGTCTTGACTATAATTTTTTTAAAATGTAACTTCACCCCACCCTATATTTACTGAATTTATTGGGGTGACACTGGTTCACAAAATTATACAGGTTTCAGGTGCACAATTCCACAACACATCATCTGTACTCTGTATTATATGTTCACCACCTCAAGTCAGGTCTCCTTCCATCACCATTTATCCCCCTATACTGCCCTGACTTTAGTCTTTAGCACAAGAAAATAAATTGCCTCTCAAGGTGAAACTCAGGGATAGGATGTCAACAAAACAGAAAAAAACTTTTGGGTTAATTACCTTTATCAAGAGATGCCCCAGCCATGTGGTAAAAGCTCAATGCAGTGTCCACATCATTAATATTCTTTAGGAAAGTAAAGAAGTTCTCCACTTCCTGAAATGTCAGACCCTGAAAGAAGAGAGAGAGCAAAGTAAGGCAGGAACCTCGAACAAAAAGCTGTTATTCGTGTCGATCAACCAGAAATTTATGCTATGTCTAGAATAGAGACTGAATAAATTAGTCAAGGAATGTCAAATTTGAACACAACCGGGGAGTAAAACTCTAGAATTTTACTCAGAGAAAAAAAAGCTGGCTAATTGCTTTCCTCTCACATGTAAAATATGACAAGATTGCTTTCACTGTTACAGTGGTGGCTGGATATCTTTAATGAAAATATATCAAAAAAAGAAAAGAAAATATTTCAAACTGGGCCTTGCAATTAGTCACAATCATCTATTTTGATATTTCCTAAATGAGCTGTAGCCACTTGATCTGTCATACATCTTAACAAGACCAGAGTCAGGACTTCGATTTAAATAATCTACTTACAAGGCTAACTAAGCTTTTTGAAGCTTAAGCTAATTAAAGAATCACCCTAAATCAGTGATATACACTGGAACGGTTTCAGAATGTAGAACCCAAGGACCTGGGAAGCTGTTCATTATCTCAATTTAAAAGCTATGGATAAAGCAATTTGCCACTTAATTTTAATTTGATGAAATTCTGTGAATGAAGAAATTCTTTTCAAAAGCCAGTCAAAGATTTGTTGACCTCAAATTCTACGTTCTATGAAGGCTCAAGAGAGAGTAGTTACATAAATAGGGGCTACAGGGAATTCCCTTACAGGGAGGAAGATTTGTCCTATTTGCCATTTCCCACTTTGCACACATCATGCTGTGATGGAATGAATACAATTTCTAAGAAGTAATTAACACTGAAGAGACACTGAGATCAACGCCTTTTAATGAAAAATCAGGTCCTTAATGGATTGCAAATGTTGACGGATTCCACTTAGTGCTGCTGCTCTTCCAATTTCCATTTCCCCAAACCACAGAGCCCAGGAGTCCACAATGATATCTCAGTAATAAGGAAACCTTAGGATAGACAATCCATAGTACTTTCCTCATATTCTCCAAACTGGGTCAATGTTATCTTTCTTATTTTATCAATCAAACTAAGAACTAAACTACTGAATGTATAATTCTATCGCATGATCTTTTATAGTTTATTCCCCAAGAATCAAAGAATTTAAACTTTTTCTTGTGGAATATGATGACCAAATAGAAAGGCACAGCCCTGGTCGGTAGGGTTTAGTTGGTTGAACATTGTCCCATGCACTGAAAGATCACCAGTTTGATTCCTGGTCAGGGCACATACCCAGGTTTTGGGTTTAATCCCAGGTCAGGGTGTGTGTGGGAGGCAACCAATCGACGTTTCTTTCTTTCTCCCTTCCTCTCTAAAAAATCAGTAAAAACGTATCTTTAAAAAAAAGGCACAGAAAAACATAAATGTACAACTTAACAACCTGTTGTAAAATGAACGTCCATAAAACCATTCAGGTCAAGGAACAGACTCTTATCAGCATCCCAGAAGAAGCCTCCCTCTGTCTCACCAACATGGCCCTTCCCAACCATAAGCCTCTTCTCTTCTCAGTGGTAATCATTTTTCTGATTTTTAGGGGCTACATTTCATTGTCTTTAAAAAAATAGCACTATATATTATCCATTAATGCATCTTAAACAGAAATAAGAGTTTAGTTATGTCTTTTCTGAACTTTATAAATGAATCATGAAGTATGTATTCTACAGTCATGGACCGCATAATGATGTTTCAGTCAACAATGACTGTATATATGACAATGTGTCCCATAACATTACAATGGAGCTGAAAAATTCCTATCCCATGTAGCCTTGGTAACATCATAGTGCTATGCATTACTCACATGTTTGTGGTGATGCTGGTGTAAACAAACCTACTGGGCTGCCAACTGTCAGTTGTATGAAAGCATAGCACATAATATGTGTTTCTGTAGTTAGATATATTTTGATACACAAATACTTACCATTGTACTACAATTGCCTACAGTATCTATATATATAAAAGCCTAAGCAACCGTTATGACCGAATGACTGGAATGACTGGAACAATCTGTCGATCAGTTGCTATGATGCACACTGACCACCAGGGGGCAGACGCTCAATGCAGAAGCTGCCCCCTGGTGGTCAGTGTGCTCCCGCAGCCAACCTCCTGCGGCCCCTCCCCTCAGCCCCCCCTCCCTGGCTGGCTGGCCAACCTCCCACAGTCCCTCCCTCTGGGCCTCAATCAGGGGGTAGGCCAGCCAACCTTCCAGGGTTCCTCAACGTGGCTGGCCAGCCCCCAGATAGGCCTTGATTACCAGCCAGGCCAAGGGGCCCAACCCGCGCATGAATTCATGCACTGGGTCTCTAGTTCAGTACATAACGGGTTAGGCTAGGAGCAACAGACTACATACCATATAACCTAGCTGTGCAGTAGGCTATAAGTTTGTGTAAGTACACTCTATAATGTTTGCACAATGATGAATTGCCTAACTACGCATTTCTCAGAACATATCCCTGTTGTTTAGCGGCACATGACTATAGTATATATGGCTTTTCTCTTTAAGATTTGTCCATATTTTTGTGTACATATGTAGTTCATTAATTTTTTAAAATATATTTTTATTGATTTCAGAGAGGAAGGGAGGAGAGAGAGTCAGAAACATCAATGATGAGAGAGAATCATTGATCAGCTGCCTCCTGCATGCCCCCCACTGGGGATCGAGCCCGCAACCCAGGCATGTGCCCTTGGCCGGAATTGAACCTGGGACCCCTCAATCCACAGGCTGACGCTCTATCCACTGAGCCAAGCCAGCTAGGGCGTTCATTAATTTTTATTGCTATGACTATTCCATTGTGTAAACATACCACAATTTATCTATTCTATTTGGGCTGTTTCTAGTTTTGGGCAATTATGAACAATAGTGTGGATAAAGCATTTATTCAAACATGTATGGAATACCTACTATGTACCAAGCTCCGTAATATTTGGCAGTGAAATGGAAGGTCTATACTAAATAATTTTTCTATAACTTGAGGTCGTTTTCTTGGCCTTGTCTTAGAGCAGTGGTTGCCAACTGGTGGTCCGCAGACCACTGGTGGTCTGTGAAGTCTGTGAGGTCTGAAAGTTGGGCGACCGCTGACTTAGAGCATCCAGATGTAGGGCTCATTCCTTCTATGAATGCCGCAGTATGCTAAGGTAAGCACTAGGCTAGAATCGACCTTATGGAGAATTACAGGTTCTACAATATCAGCTGCTAGTGGATGGATACACTAATACCATCTTCTCCTCCCTTCATCAAAAGACATGCAGAGTTGAAAACAACCCAAGTGTCCATCAATAGATGAATGGATAAAAAACTTGATATAATGAAATATTATTCAGTCTTTTTAAAAAAAAGAAATTTTGACACATGCTATGTAACATGGATGAACCTTGAAGACATTATGCCAAGTGAAATAAGCCAATTACAAAAGATCAAATGTATGATCCCAAATATGGGAGGTATTTAGTGTAAATTTATAGAGACAGGAATTGAATGGTGGTTGCCAGGGGCTCGGGAGAGGGGAAAATATGGAATTATTGTTTAACTAGAGGCCCGATGCACGAAATTTGTGCAAGGGGCTTGGCCCTCACAGCCACAGTGGCTTGCCTCGACCCTCACAGTCCCGGCTTCATCCGGAAGGTCATTCAGCTGTCCGGTCTAATTAGCATATTACGCTTTTATTATTATAGATGAGTACAGAGTTTCAGTCTGAGAAGATAAAAAGAGTTCTGGAGATGGATGGTGGTGATGGCTGTACAACAGTGTGAATGTACTTAATGCCAATGAATTGTACACTTAATGGTAAATTTTGTTATGTATATTTTTAAAAAGGCTTGCTAAAGCTTTTTTACTTTTCTTATTAAGGTGTGGATTTTTATGGCAGGGGGACAATAGGGACCTGAGGCCAATAGGTTAACATAAAATTCCAAAAACAGAGAAGGCATGACAGTGAAAATGCTCCCTACTCTGACAACCTTTAATGTTTGTTAATTTATTTATCATGAAACATTAAAAAATACAGCTCAAGACCAGAGTGCTTATGCTGAGAATCATTTGAGGACAGACAGCTAGGACAATCTGAATTGAGTGACTATTCATTTGATAATTTAGAAAAATGGTGGCCTACAAATCACATTACAGTCAAACCTTGAATGTCTCCCATCTCGAACAATGTGGTTATCAGCCAAGTTATTCACAGAACAAATGTCTGACACCTCTTTCAAGCTAATACCTCAGTATGACAAAAAGCATCTCTCATGCAACGAAGGACGGAATGCTTTTGTTGCTGGCAAAATTAACCATTAGCACAGTTTTAAAACATAAAGAGGCCATCACGAGTGCTAAGGTTGCTAAGGGTGTGAAAGAAATAATGATTACAGACAATTAAAGAGGTAGAAAAACTGTTGATTTAGATAAACGAAAAGCAGTTAGCCAGTGACAGCCATTTTGAAGGCAGTTATTATGTGAATAAGCAAAGATGCTATGTGCAGGCCTGAAAGGCACCCCTGGACTGAATGCTGAAAGTGATTCGCCTGCCTGGCTGGTGTTGCTCAGTGGTTGAGCATCGACCCATACCAGGAAGTCATGGTTTGGTTCCCAGTCAGGGCACAGGCCTGGTTTCGGGCTCAATCCCCAGTAGGGGGCATTCTCTATTATTGATGTTTTCTATCTCTCTCTCCCTCTCCCTCCCTCTGTGAAATCAATAAAAACATATAAAAAAAAAACAACAACAACCAAAAACTTTGTGATTCAAAACACTAAGACAAGAGACAAATCATAGACCAGGAGAAAATATTTAAAAATTACATATCTGATAAAGGACTTGTATCCAGAATTATGTAAAGAACTGTTACAACCCAATGAGATGGTAATAATAACCTAATTAAAGAAAGATTTGAATAGACTTCTTACCAAAAAGATATATGAATGTCTAATAAGCATATGAAATGATGTTCAGAATCATCAGTCATTAGGGAAATGCAAATTAAAACACAATGAGACACCA